TGGTTGATGATGACAGTGACCCCCGCGAAATTTTAGCCGACAGCAGTAAAGGATGTAAGGAACCGCGGTAGAACATAATTTCTTTCCACACAACCGTGTTAGAGTGACATCTATTTGTCAAGCTCTCACATGGTTGTACTACAACGCGACAACTAAAACCGGTATGCGACGCGACCACACGCACCAACTTAACGGAAATCCACGATATTCCCCCAAATCGAGAACTGGCTAATTCTAGCAGAGTACAAACTTCACTATGATCCGTCATCATAATAAAGTAAGAACAGCACTCGCTTAGAACAGGTAGTTTACTGTCAGCTGAATGTTCTACAGATCGGCCAAATGAACAACACTTCCATAATTCTTACTGACAGGCTGAAACATTCGTTCGCAGTGGTGCTATGTCGCTAAGGCACGTGCTTCAGACATCGCGTGCTGCAAAAAGCGAGTCAGCCACTCGCTTTTATTTTGAACACCTTCGGAATCCCGCAGGAGCATCTAGGAGTACCGTCCCCTCATTACCTGTTTTACATGAGGCTTCATTATACTCCAGATGCCCTCGATGGGATTGAGAGCTGGACAGCATGGCTCAAGGCGTAGAAGTCTCCGCGAGCGGTACGGAAAACGTGCTCCATGTGCATGTGACAGGGCGCGTTGTCACAACTCGAAAGCCACCTTTTCACAAACCCTGATCCCTTGGTATCAAACACTTGTCGCAAGCACTGAGCGCACCTTTGCTTGTTGTAACCTCTTCTCAGAACCGAACGCGCTATCAAGCCGTTGTTTGTCATGGCGCCGACAGAATGAACATTCGATCCCCGGTTGTTCGGTACTGTACACTGCGCTCGACTACCACGTCGTGAGCGGCCACGAGTGCGGGAGCAAAATAAGTTGAAATTGGTCTCAGCAATCCACACCGGTTGCTTTCCTTCTACCTCGTAATCCATGAGCTGCAAAACGATTGACCTGCGACGCTTTTTGTTCTCCAGCGTGTTCATGGATTCCGGAATGGTGTGTATTTTCTTGATTGTTATCAATCTATCATCCAAGTATCCGGAGACAGCGCTGGTACTTACAGAAATTTCGAACTCTGCCTTCAACCACAAACGAAGGAGTTCAAGGGTAACGGTAGGCTCAGCAGAAACCCACTCCACCATAGAGTCGACGTGGCTTTCTCCCAGTGCCCTGCGACGGACTCCCCCGTGCTGCCCCACCGGTTCCGTCGATTCGTACGCTCGTATCCAGTTGCGGCCAGTTTTCACGTTCGCCTTCAGTGTGCAAGTGACCTGCTTCTAATCGTCTCCTTCCTCGTACGCTTTCAGTATGACGTTCTTCACCTCCGACGAGTGCCGAACATACAAGCCAACCATTGCGTTTAGGTGAACTGCACGTTCAAAGTCACACCGTAAATTTATTTGGCTGTGGCCTGTTATACCAATTCAGTCGTCGTTCAAACCCCTACTCTCGTTCTAATTGGTGGGAATCGCTTCCTTGGACAGAGAAACCAAGGCCCACATGGTGCATCGGCCACCGACCCTGTATCTGGTAGGAGCTGAAGCGTCCCACGTGCACCCCTATGACTTAGTGCGTCTGAGGTCTTATTGGCTGAAATCGCCGGGCTATACGCGCACACCTACACACTTGCACAAGCGAGTGGCGGACTCACGGCTCAAAGTAATTGTGTAAAGACTCATCTTATATGCCCCTCAGCGCAACTCCTTTGCCGTTGAGATTAATTCTGTTGCCCAAGCCTGCAACTTGCCCGAGAAATGGTGTACTCCAGTGTTCCTCCGGATTCCCCCGATTGTGCCGACGGAATTTCCCCCGTAGTGTTGCGTATACTGCGTCCAGTTCGATGTGTCTTTTGTTTGAATTCGTTGCAGTGTACCATGCTTCCAAAATCGCCCTTGCCTGTTTTGTACTACATGTGTTAGAACCTGTACATTCTCCAGATCGAAATGGTGGCCTTCTTAATTTGTCATCTGCAGAAATCAATGAATGCGGATCATATCTTTGGACGACCGCTTTGTGTGCGGTTGTTCGTGTACAAAGCTTTCTTCCAGTTTGTCCGATATAGGTTTTACCGCAGTCACTGCATTTTATGTGGTAGATGACATTGCTCGGTCACAGGAGGAAACAGGCAAAGGTCACGAGACACAGGTCATAGGGGCCATGGTGAATGGGCATCTGTCTAACAGACAAGGGGATCACGGGTCGAAGTCCCTACCAATAGAACTGCCCGTCTCGACAAAGCACGGACGAGATAAAAACGCACGCACACTACACTCAGCGCACTCTCACCGAGGCTACTCTGCGCTGCCACACCCTACGTTACTACGCACTGATGATGTCACCTCGATTGTTGATGAAACGTTTGAAACTAAATTGCCAAGCTCAGCGACCGGTTCAGCTGCCATTTTTGAGCATTATGACGCCAACACGAGTGGGTTATATCCGCTGGTTTTTGATAACCGGCAACCCACCGTATCAATGTAGCAAGGAGGGTTCTTCCGATTTGCCGTCCAATCTTTCTGATCACCGGATAGGGCCACTCGTCATCTTAAGTGGGGTCCCTGCTTAGGAGAACGCATGACAGATATTTCTAATATTTAGTTCACTGATTCTGGAGAGCTGGTTCATTGAGTGGCCGCCTTACATTTGAATCATGGAAGTTCAGAGATTACACTTCAGTACAAATAGCATTATTTTCAATCGTCCTAAACACTGGAATATTGAGACACCAAAATGGCACTTGTACTCATTTTGTATCCATTTGATTCCGCTAAGTGGAAGCGCTGCCACTCTCTCTATTATGGCGATTGAAACTGGCCCGAGGTGGCAGATTTCACATAAATAATTTTCCCTTTGAAAACTTTCACCTCATTGTACAGCCAGTTTAACTGATTGAGCGTCTGTCGAGCGGGTATATAACCACGCCTTAGATTTGGGTAATGTTTTGACACATCCTAGTTGTTTCGAATCTCCTAGCTTTAGACAGAGTAAACGCTCTTCACCAGTAGTATCTCACGCTCCAACTTACAAGTTGAATTCAGATAGTTAGAATCTAACTGACCTGACCGCCAGAGGTCGTACACATGAGTTGAGTTTGAGAGTGGCATGGGTAACCGGAGAGTTTCATGTGCCCACAATTGCACTTTCCCTCTCTTCCTATCCTCCAGTCCCCGTGTTTACTATGAGAACTATTTGCATTTCCTCGGTTTTACCGGTGGTCTAAAGCAGGATTGTCTCGAATCACCCTTCTTGTTCAATTTCGTTATAGATAGCATCTTGGAGAATGTTCCGGAAAACTGTAGGCCTGGTGCTGTCGAGTTGCCCCTGGTGATCAACTTCGTTGTTGGAGGTATGCTGACATCTTTGTAATCTGTAGCTTCTCGCAGGCTGCTCAGAACATGCTGCGCAGATTTGAGTTAGCTGCCTCACAGTTCGGAACGATCTTTGCTTCTTCAGAGTACAAGGTTGTCCTTCATGATTGGCTAGGGCCTACACTTAAACTCACACTCTCCGACCCATCTTTATAAGTAGTCGAGAAGTCCGTTTATCTTGGGAGCTGCATTAGTGTGGGCTTATTCGTGTCTGAGATGACATTGCGAATTTTCAAAGCCAGAGTAGCCATTGCCAATCTCCGACATCACCGGCCTCAGCCTACCAATAAAAGCTCTACAACGCTACGGTACGAGCAGTGCTGCTCTATGGATGTGTAACCTGGCTCGTTCGATCGAGCGATGTCCAGAGATTGTATTCGATCATCACAGCCTCCGAAGCGTCGCTACTGTAGCTCGGCAACATCGCATGAGCGCTGCTGATATTCGCCGTCGGACAGATTCTGCCTACTGTCTAGTTACATAATTTGCTTGCACAGACTTCGATGGTTCAGGCACGTGCTTTGTGTGTCAGCTCAGCGTTTGTCCTGCCGCGCTCCCGTGTGCACCAAAAGCGATGTAGAAGTGACTGACACACAATCTTGGTATTTGGTACCAAGGCGCTAATAATGCACTTGCCACACTATGGCGTCCCGGACTCCCGGGTTGGCGCCCAAACGACATTGTATACACCTGTTTGGAAACGTTTTCCGATATAACCCAGAACCGCACTCAATAACGAGCATGTTGTTATGCTCTCTTCTAAGTTTTTCCTCTTTTATCGTTTTCACCCTTTTATCATAAAAATCTACCACATGTACATTGGTGTACCGTTGAAAAAATATATAACCCACATAAGCACGAAAGCCAAGCCAGGTGTTTTGCCAACATAGCGAAGGTCTCAGTTAACATTGGCATTAAAACGTTAGTAATGGAAGCCTGGGTTTTTGTTGCTAGTTGGCAAGTCACGCGTGCTAAACCCATGCGGAACCAATGGACTGGAAAGCCAGTCAATGCCGCAGACGCAAACAGACAATGCTTGTACAGGCCAGGTGAACAGCTCGGAATTGAGTTCAGAGAGGTTTGAAAACAATCGGTTTGGTATAGTAATTTGGTAACGTTTCGCCTCTAACATAGAGGCTTCATCAGACCAGGTGAATCAGTGTGCAATTGGTGTGGGAATTTATAGCGAACAGCTCGGAATTGAGTTGCAGCGTTGCAGTGGACGGCACGTAGTGCGACAATAACTGGTCGACCGAGCGAGTGAATCAGGCGGAGCAGGCGGATGGAAAACCGATCAGAGCCACTGATACACGCTGGCCACATTTGACCGGATAAACGGTCCATAATTGGTTTAACCTATTGTGAACAAAGCGTAGTTTTATTTCAGTAAAAATGGGGGTTATCCAAACAGCTGTAGATGTTTGCTGAGCGCGTGAACTCAGGCAGATGGCTAGTCAGAACCAGCCAATGGAAGTGCGTTGCTGTGAAATAGATGAAAATCCGTGCACGGTAAAAAATGGTACCTTGTTCTTTACTAACCGATTTGGATCACCACAGTCTGGCTCACGTTGAGGTACTCATCGTCACTCAGTGCATTTTCTCTTACCACAGGATTTGATGCTTCTGGGTCTGACGGATTCGGTGCACGCTATTCGATTCACCGCCATTCCATTGGTTGCGAGGCTGTTGGATCAACTCTCCCTAGGCACTGTGCAGAAGTTTTTGGATCACATCATTGAGGTAAATGCATTTAGTACTACTTGACCCCGAATGACACTGGGCAGTGTGATGGCGTTAGGTGACCCAACGTACCATTAGTGGTGGTTGCCAAGTCCTAATCTTATGGGAGCAAACATTGTTTAAACGTCTAGTGATTTTTACAAACCTGAAAACCTTCAACGAGCCTGTTCGGAGATTTACTACGCTGTCTGACCTTAGTATGAAGCTGAACGCATTTTCACAAGGTAAGGTGCCTATGCAAGTTGTCAGCAGTATCTTTCTCATATAAATTACTGCAAGCCGCTTGTCTTCTGTTCGTGACCGTATAATGTCGCGCGGCCGTGAGATGGATTGTGCAAGGCGCTTGGTATCTGTCATACAACCCTTAGAGTCATCCTTGATTTGGCTTCTTCTTCTTCCATTTGTGTAATTCCGTCACATCCTTTGAAGTAAAATTCAACGAAGAAGAATTTTAGCTTATTTTTCCTACGAACCTATGCAATTTTGCTTCTGTTCCATTGATAAATTAGGCAAAGTAGAGTGGTTGGTATTAAATTGACCTTAATTTTACATTTAGCTCTTGATAATTCAGGTGCTATTGGTAGACTTGTTTTATCCGTATGGCATCAAATACTACCTGGTTTTGGTGCTCAACCAAAGGTGTGCAAGTTAATGGACTAATCTTTCATATATCGCATTCATTTTAACATTCCAAGCAACATTAATACTCCTTTATACCGCACTGATTGATGTTCCTCAGGGAGCAATTCTATGGTCTGTGTTCGCCATACATTGAAGCCTTTCGTATGCAATTTCCATATTTTAATGCAAACATTCTGAACATTTTGTCCCAGTGTATAGCATTCAGTCTTGGGGGAGCTCCGGCCCCTTGACTACAATTGGATGAGTTAGGGAAGGGGGGGGGTTTCTTCTCCATCCCTCGTCCTCTAGTCCTATTCCTAGTTGGTTTGATCTTCAATACTTGTTTCACGAATAAGTTGCAGCATGAAGTCTTTAATGAGGTACCACATTGCACTGTAAATTATACTGACAGTGTGTTCTTGACCGTTTTACTAGACGGGCTCTATGGGGAATTTCTTCATCTCGGGTTTGATTGTCTTATTGGCCATGCCTATCCGTTGAGTGTAAGCATTACCCCGATGCAGCTTGTGAGGCGCACCATATAGATGTTGTATGATCTCCAACGTCTATCCGTGTTGTGTAATACCGTTTTCCTCGCGCGATTGGGCAGCTGATTCCCAAAATTTTTTATATTCTTCCATCTTTGAGAAACCAAGACCTAAATGGTCCATCAGCCATCAAGTAACCCAGTGGCTGCGCGAACCATCACAAGCTACGATCGATTAGCTCATCTCATCAGCGCTACAACTTGATCGTTCTTTGCCGAAGAACCCCCGGAAGTCGCCTAGTTTGACTTCGTCAATAAATTCGGTCAGCTGATTGCAGAGGCTTCAGAGAGAAGAGCTTGCAATAAGTGCAAATCAGTTTCTTTCGTTAGGAACAAAACTCTAAACTGGAAGTCAGTACGCAACGTAGCATAGCGAGTGTACAGAGATGCTCCAGCACCAGATACTTGGGACAACTACCTAGCCCAACCTAACCACTGCACTCAACTGCTAAGAGAAGACAAAGCCGCCTATCAGCACAGCATCGCAAAAACCGTCAGTGCTAACCACAAAACTGCTGTACAAGCACGTCAACTGCTTACGATAAATGAGGCAAGGATTTGCTCCACTCAGGACGGCTGATTGCCCAACAAGAACAGCTGTGGAAGCAGCAAACGCACTGCGGATGCAATATGCCCCTACGTTTCAGGGAGTCTTGCTACCAAGCAATCTACCAACCATTGTCGTCTCCTTGCCAGGACTAACCCATGTCACTTTTACAGCGGAGGCTGTATTGCAATAGCTGACGTCTCTGCACAAACATAGGTAGCCGGGTGTCGACACCGTTCGTCCAGAGGCACTGGAAGCAGCAGCAAGCCAACTGGCTGGACGTTTAGCTCAGTTTTTCCAGCGCCGCTTAGACCAGAACCATGTTCCTGCTATGTGGGAGCTTGGAATAATAACCCCTATTCACAAAGGCAGAAGCAGAACTGAGCCTTCCAACTACCGCCCAGTATCCCTTCTTCCTATACTCTCCAGTCACAGAATCCATAATTGCCGATGCACTGGTGTGCTATCTGGAAAACTGCAACATCATCATGCCTGATCAGCACGGTTTCCGTCCACAGCGGTCATGCACAACGAATTCACTAATCGCACGCAGTAGTTGGACCGAGTCAGCTGACGATGGAGAAGGCGTTGGTGTGATCTACCAGGATTTTTCAAAGGCTTTCGATCGTCTGGACCATCGGATACTACTCTCCAAGCTCCAGCACTACGGGATCGGGGACCTTCTTTTCAGTTGGATTGCCAGCTTTCTGCTTCAACGGCAATTATTGATCATAGTTCGGAACTCTTTATCGGACCCAATACAAGTCGAGTGTGGTGTGCCGCAAGGCTCAGTTCTGGGTCCACGTTCGCTTTTGGTATTTATTAATGACCTTGTGCAGAGAATCGCTTCGAACTTCCTAATGTTTACCGACCATATCAGGATTTGGTACAGGATCCAGGTGAACGCCGACCAACATCTGCTTCAGAGTGATTTAGATACGGTGTATCAATGGTCATCCCAAAAATTACTGCAATTCAACGTGTGTAATGCAACGTACTTTCTATCTGACATCAGAGCAGCTACTCATATCGGCTCGGAACGAATGTACTGCAACAATCAACTCTCGAACGTGACTTGGGTGTCCTGGTTCAAGATGACTTGAGTTGCTCCAGGCAATCCGAAAAGCCTCGAAGATTGGAAACCAACACGTCGCGCTGTTGTGGTAGGCGTTTGGACAAATAAACAGCTCCATATTCCGACAAATGCGTATGTTCGCCCCCATGTCGGATACGCAATTCAAGCCTGGTATCCATTGCTGAAACAGGAGCTTAATGCACTGGCCTCTAAAAACGCAATTTGAATGCGCAATCTTTCATAACAGAAGAGGATGCAACGACTGCGGGTATTCACTGGAATCTGTCGCAAAATACGAGGCGACCTTTTTATGGCATACTTGATTTTGCGAGACTCACATTATGTGTGCCGCCCCTTGCTGAGACTCAGCACCAATAAAACTCCGAGGACCCACTCATTGAAACCCGCTGTACAGTATAACCGCCTGGAGTGCCGCAGAAATTTCTTTTCCATTCGTGTCTTTCACCCGTGAAATGCTCTCCCAGAATCGGTTGTCTTTGCGCCAACAGTAACACAATTAAAAGACGATTGGATGACGCACTCATCCACTTGCACTTTATTCCTCAGTGCTACGTCTCCATCCTACACCTGAAGGTTATCATGGGCTTATTTGATGTGTTAACTGTGGGTGCTGTGAATCTAAGCGGATTGCAGAAGTACACCGGAGCAAACGATAAGTCCTTATTTTCATATTTAATGTACCAACTTTTTACTACTACTATTATTATTATTATTAGTAGTAGTAGTAGTATTAGTATTCCGATATCCCCGCCATCTCTCCAACGGGACTTGTAAAGCAACGCTTTGTAACCCGTATAAATTCATTACTGATTCATTGTTAGTTGTTCGGTGCTCTCTCGTCTCCAAACCTATCCTGATGCACACATGCGCATAAACCTAACGTGACTACATTATTAAGTGATTTAATTGTTAATCCTGTGACTCCTCACGTCCATCTGCATTAGTTAATCTTTTCTCCCCTATCTGTCAAGGCCTTCTGTTAATGTCTGTATATTGAGTGACAGTCGATAAAGTGTTTTCAAGATTCAGTGGACTATCCAGAACATTTCCCATCGATTTTATCTTTAGAGAACAGTTCAGCACACTTGTGTAGCTCTACTGCAGATTTCAGCCCCTACACAATGACTCCATGAAAAATTAACGATTGAAAAGTTAACCGTTATTTTTGTCCAATAGTTAATGCTACCTTTACTTGTCGACCGAGCGAAAATGATCAACATATCGTAGTCCCAAGTTGACAGGTAATCCCTAAGTTTCCTTTTAGTCTTCTTGGCTGCTGTATTGCTCCAACACATCCGAAGATACATCGCGCATATCATAAATTCATCCATTCCGTGTACGATATACATATTCAAACTGTGAATTGGCACTTTTGTCAATTCGTTTCGAGTTATTAGATGACAAGTAGATTGACAACTTTGCCTACGGAACAGCAGTTACTTTCATAGATCAACAAATAGCTAAGTCTAACTCAAATCGGAAGCCGCTTATCACCCCTCATCGAAAGCATCTCGGTTGCTAGATTCTCCACTGGAACACAGGCAATGTAAGCTGCGATTTTAGTAAGTAAACTGCCATTCCAATGGTATAAAATATTCAAACTTACAAATCTCAGTTATCAGTGCAAGGTTCAAGTTGAATAAGCGCAACTAGACTCAGTCAGTCGGCTATCACCTATTCGAAGAAGTACAAGACGATGAGATCTATTAGACTGGAATGACAGACGTCAAGTTTATTGCTTTCGCGTTCGTGGTAGTATGCGAACGATAGTTATCCTGAAGTGTCACTAGCAGCTCAGTTCAGTCGGTTACTTGCAAGTCAAGAGCGGAGGTGCAATGGATCGCTTTGCCACGTAGTACTTCATAGTAATCTAGAAATATAAAGTGAGCAAACGAAAACGCTGAAACAAGGAGATGGTCAATATATCGAAAAGCTAGCAAATAAAAGTACCGGACACAATGCAAAGACCGCACTGGCTAATCGACTGAGCTATATCAAAGGCAGTCTCTGAGCATTGACAAAACATATATCCTATCCAAGAGGACAGTATGCATTAGCCTGTCCAAAACTTTTGGTCGATTTCATCTTGCCTTTTTGTAAACTCATGTTTCAATGACGTTGCGGTTTCATCCAACCAGGTGTCCCCTTGGCAAACAATGCACATCGAGGTGAACGGTTAACGCATAGAATGTTAAATATAAATGACGATTCTGCGAGGCCTCCTAGAATTTCATGTTTAACACAAACTAGTCGATTCCGCACTGTTGACTCCGTAGCCCAACAAATACGAGCCGTGCAACACAGATACCCGTGGTCAGTGATGACCAGTTACTAAGTGCTCTCACCATGCAGTGGACATGGTTCCTTCCTCCGCAACTTTATGATTGACTTTTCCGAGGAGAACCTAGGCGTAACATGCGCTGTTTCTTGTCAAGTCTCTAGAATGAACCTTTCTGAAAGACTTCACCTCATAAACCGTAACACATACATTGGGTTAGATAATTTGTATTGGTGGAACAAACATGGTTCAGTAGGAAACGTGACGCTTCGGTTCTGTTGCACCTACTATCTAGGGCGTCTGTAGGAAATTGCGATGTACCCGGATAAAATGTATCTTGATTTTGCTGCTCGGATAAACTGCGGATAAACTAGCGGATACCCATTAGTAAGAGTATGCTGATTTAACTACCGGGGGGGGGCTTCTTCTCAGTGGTTTCCAAAGTATAACCTCCTCCACATGCCCGAGAAAATACTAGTCGGCCAAGCATGTGGAGGAGTAGCGGATTTGAAAGCGCTACTGGGAAGAAATCCTCAAGAATGTTACATCATAAGGCACATACTCATGATTACATCCAAATATTCGCCTTAACAGTTCCCCAATGATATGTCGTATGTAGCTACCATCAGTCGAATTTGTGTCTCTCGAGACCAACCCTGTCCTCTGCAGCGTTGGTAACTTGCATGACTGTGGAAGATAAGATGTGCTATATCCCAGTTAGCTTGCAAATCATGACTGTCCGACGGTGTACCCCATGGCTTAGTGGCATAAGCTTCTGACTGGCGGTACAAGCCACTAGTGATTATGGACTCCGATCATGATGTATCCGGTGGATGCGCGCTACTGATGATGCCTAATAGACTGAAACTGCAGTCTAGTACTTTTCCGGTCATTCGGAGACTAGTGTGAAGAGACCCCAACTATAAATCACGATTTTTGAGAGGAAATTACTCATTGGGGCCATCCTGTGTCTACACAGCGCCACGGTGACTATTCCGCAAATGTAACGTGTTCGGAGTGAGTTCCACTGCGAGTTAGTGGTTGTGATGATATTTTAACTGCGCTTCCGCTTCTGATTCCCAGATGCTCAAGTGCAGTTTCTGGTTTTACTTTTTAGTAGACCCTCTAAGTATTCACTGAATTCTAGGCATCTTTATTTGTGGGAGTAATGCACTCTGTGAAGTAGTCTGAATTCTTTTCTTCTCGACTTGCTACCACCTACCACTTCCCGTTTGTGGCATTCTGCAGCTGTTCAATCGACAAGAAGTGGAAACGTGGGAAGTTGCTGAAGGACTTTTAAATGGTGAGTATGCAGCCAGCATTTGATTGGTGTTCGCGTCCTGTGATTCAGCCGCCACGACACGCATAGACTAGTTGGTAAAACCCGGGCACATTTTTCCTTATGTGAGTAGTGACCAATGAATGCGGAAGTTGCTGAAACAAGTGTTACACGCTTTCCACCCAAGATTATCAGTGTCTTGCATGTTGTGGACGTGCAGAGGAGATCACTGCGCTCCAGAGCTACGACCTCCTTTGTAAGCCGTCACCGATCGAGGTGGCATATAAGCTGCTAACGCGATTACTCAGTGGCACAAGTCACTGCCTCGTAAAAGGTCATGAGTTCGAATCCAGAAGGATCCTGCGGGTGCACGCTACTGAAGTGTCCCAATAAGACGAAACGGCCGTCAAGCGCTTTCCTGGAAGTGTGGTAGCCATCTGGATGAGTCCAGCTGCAACGAATCTTTTCATCGACTAAATTTCCCCATTACGCATTTATTCAGTCTTCTTTATGCATGATTCTGTATTTCAATCACCCATGTGCGGCAACGAAATGGTCGGTTTCTTGTCCACTGTACGGTTGTATGCGCTATTGTAGCTCCGATATTTCCAACCCGCTGAGTCATATTCTGTGGTGGCCCCCATATACCACTGTCAAGAAGCGCTTTCCGGAAAAAAAGTAGAATGAAGAGCCGTTTGATCAATAATAACTGCGTACAAATAATAAGTACATACATAATGGTGTGTAAGTGTTATCCACTCCTGACTTTGCATCCCACGATGGGCTTCGTTCTTGGTTGCATTCGCATAAGGTAAGTAGAAGCGAACTGCCCTACTTGAATTTACAATGTAAGGGGAGCATCGATCGAACTGACCAAGGTTAACTGCAATATGAATCATCGTGCCAATTACAGGAATACGACTCGCAATTCATCCAAAAACGGGGACGCATCAAGGTGATCGGAACCTCGCCTCGCATTTCAAATTCTTGTGCTCATTTAAGGGAGGGGATCATGTGGTGTGCGCTAACTGTCAGTCCTGCGTTCTCACGTGCGTACGCACACCCAACTCGCAGATGATTGGATGAACATTTGTCAATTGCCTGTAGAGCAGTGATGTCCAAAGTCCGGGCCGCGGGCCAAAAGGGGCTCAACACCAGAGGGCGCACGAATAAATGTATGTGAAACTTGCTGATCGACTTTGGGATTAAAAGTGCAGAGACGATGAGAACTGAATGATACAATAGAAGAGTTAGAATTCTCAGTAGCAAGACGAAAGAAACGGTGAGGAAGTACATAGTCCCACTATGTGTAAAAAAAGATACAGTTTTGCCACAGTGGCAGCTGAATGTTCGGGAAATCGGATAGAATCTATGTGAGAATGCCACCAATCAGGTGTCAACAATGCATTGATTAATGATACAAATAAGCAACAACCACCGGCTTGCGCAAGGAGAAATGCGATTGGCTCGTGTAGCAACGGAGGTCGAGTAACATCCAGTCAATAGAATTTGGTTCGCGATGCGGTGTGACATGAAGTGCGGAACCAATCGGAACTTACGTTGACAACAGGCGTCGCCGTTAAAATTGTTCTGTAAATACCGAATCGTGCTGTAATTACTGTAAACGAAAAAGTCGATTTGGTACGGTTGAGTTACGCGTAGCTAATACACCTTCTTGGGTTCTGTACATTCTAGCAAGATGTAACTGACTTCGAGAATGGTTTCTCTCGAAATACCGCATCCAAAGCTTAAAATCAACTAGCTGCAGTAGTATCCTCTGATTGCCAGTCACTTCATGGGTTAAGGACAAGATATTCAAGGAGACGAAGTATTCCGTATTCGTTCACTCGGACAAAGAACGCTTTACGAGCCGAAACACGATAATACCAAATATACGACCGTCACATGAATGCCGGTTCACTCAATGCCATGCGGTCGAAACTTATTGCCGTAACATGCGCTGACACGCTACGTTGCATCCATAGGCATACAATAGCACTGCCGAAGAAACAACAATTTAACACTGGCCTAGTAGTTGAGATTCATCCAATGCGATGAACATGTATCACAGCCGTACACATGAAAGTAGAACTGCAAACTGGATCATAAGATAGTGCGCGGAATACACACACGCACTGATCTACCTTCCAAATATTGACGGCCCGCTATCAATAGAACTTTCTAATGCACATGTCATAAATCTCACCAATTTAGAGGGATGACTGGTGCCAGGCTCTATTTTGATGTCACCAGACACTCCCACCTATCATTTTCATGAAATCGAATACTTTGTAACTAAAACACTGAAACTATGTGTCATTACGGAATCCTACTGCCAACCCAAATGGGGTCCACTGAGCTACCCCTATTAGCTGTTCGACAGCACAAGCCATTAATGCAAGTTCTGAAGTTCTGAATTTACTGAATCAGAGGAAAATTTATCTAAAGTTTTGACATCTGCAGTCTAGAGCCATAGACAGATAAGAACGCTTAGAATCATCAGTGGATTTCGTAGACAGCAAAGGGATTAATTCATCGTGCACTGCGTTCCAACTGTCTATCGCTGTTCCAACAAAACTATACTCTTACTTTGGCTCCTTGGTCATATCTGGGAGACCGAAGAGCTACTGTGTGCCCTTTTACACTCCAACCGTTGACTGCCCAACTCCGAGCTGCAGGATTTCACTCACTGCTAAGCACTGCGTTCACATTCTGGCGAGCAACAGATCTGTGTTTGTAACGACCCAGCTTATTGGACGGTGATCTACTGCAGCTCATCTGATCAGAAGACCCACTGTCACACTTGCTACACATACCTACCAACGGATTCACAAAGTTAGCTGACTGGGGCCTTTGCAATGGGAGCCGAAGGCACTCTCCAGCGGTTCATTCTTCTGCTCCAAACACTCAGGAGTAGTGATCAGTGGCTCTTTCTTCACGGATGGACAGAACAGCTTTGCACCATGAGTCTCAGTGTTCATCATGTTGGCAGGTGTTCACACTGTACTATGCCCTGCTTAATTCAATAGCTGTGAAACAGTAGGTAACAGCGGCACATCGGCAGTTCCTTCCAATAGTTCACCGTCTCAAAATCGCCGGCTGTCGTATGTGGGCTGGGACACTACGAAGTCCCCCGGCACCTATGTGTGTTCGAACTGCATAAGGAGCCACATAGTTGTGTGTCGAATTCCGCAGTTTAAGGCGCACCCATCTTCCTTTGAAAACGATTTTAGTGTTCGATCAGCGAATGTCGGTTATTTGTTTAGTAATAATGTGGGCCCAGTGACCAACAGAGCTTTTACTTTGTCCTGGGACTAGTGAGTTCATCTTATTACGCCTGCCTAATCGGTCACTCTTCCAAGTCACCAAAGTCTCAGTTAGCCTGCTCCTGGGCTGACCACTGGAAACATATTATACGGTTGCAATACTCGTTGCAAACCTGACTGCTATAACCATTTTAAGCGAAAGCTCCATCAAAATTTGTCGAAACTGCAAGACTCCCAATTTCCGCAGGGATCTTCTCTACTTCTAATGTCCAGTTTTAAAATAGAATGAATTCAAGAAGTGAAAGAGTCAATGTTACTCGTGAATGTAACAGCTTTTCTTTATCAAAGATTCGTTAAGCATGTTTGGCTCATTGCAATGCTATAGATATCACAATTATACACACGTCACACCAATGAATATGCATTCAGTAGACTGCCTGTTACGCTGTAACCGTTGTAATATGTACATTGCAATTGGAACAACCAAGTACTTCTTCCGGTGTGCTTTTAACGTTGTCTTCCCTTCACAGCCCTCGGTCTGTTAGTCAAGCGAATGATGCCCGAGGCAGGGCACACCCACGGTTCTCCAACCGGTATGTCCTCGGTGAGTGTTCCCCGGTAAAGTTGTGTGTCTTCGACATTGCTTTTTGATTCGATTCTGACTGCGAGTAGTAGATCGCTTATCAGCTGTTCTCATCGTCTTTTGTGTATACGGTGTAACTCGATCGGGTGGCAGAAGCTGACCTAAGGCCAGATGAGTCACGGTGAACTGTGTCGTCTTCGTGTATACATTCGCCTGCAAAATGCTTCCGAAACTGCTCAAGGAACAGACTCTAAATCCAGTGAATTTACTCACATCAGCAATGGAACGTAACTTGGGTACATGACCAAGCAGTTGTTCATGCAGATAGCGTAATAGGACTTTTCGCCTCGGAAAATCCACTGGGAGGATAACTTGCTCTTCTGAGTAACAGGTTCCCGGTTCCCTAAAGTGGACATCAGATCCTCACGAAGGTTTACTAAGACGCCACTCCAATAATCCAAAACGAGCCAAACGATGGAGGTGGCCACCACAATTAAACTAATGCAACTTGATCAATTCACCTGGTGAGCAATTGCTTTCAATGATTCATCATCAGACCATTACAATCATATAGAGGCTAGAATGAGAAATCGACCCAGTTAGTTCAATATGACTTGATCACGTGAAGGCCTATGTCAGAGTGGAGAAAACGAATTAGGTCTTAGAGGGTTAGCTGTTTGCTAACGCGTCTGACCGAAGACAGTCGACCTGGGCGTCTTCCATCTTCGCTGGCCAGGGAAGCTGGAGAGCCTGGACCAGCTTCTTCTGTGAGCATAAGGACGGCTGGAACAATCGAATGCATATTGCTTCAGCTGTCGCAAGCGTACGAAGGCGGTAACCTTTCGTTCGGTGCGGTGGAACCTTGCTAAACTATTCGGAAAGCGCGTTTCCAATCCACTTCGTGAGCAGTGTCCTCAGTGTGGGCCATAATGGCGCTACTAATGGTCCGAGCCCTGTTGACGCAGCCAACGAGGGCAATGTTCGTTCACGCGTTTTGATAACTGCCGCGCCGTTCGACCAATATACGTCGCGCCACAGGCGCACACGAATTGATAAATTACCATTGATGTGGTCAGCATCGGCAGCTTGTCCTTGTTTTGTGAACGAATGAGTGGTTCCGTTGAGAACACGCACTTCAACGAGGCTGCTGGAAAGGTCGATTTTACCGCGACCAAGAGGCTTCTGTTTAGACGCTCGGTAGCCGCGTCCCCTTTGAATGGTAAGCGAATAAATAACTCTTTCATGGGTGCTGTTAACACTGGCACTGGTTTGGGTTTTTCTTGAAGGTTCCTTAAGATAAATCTATCGGGATAACCGTTTTCACGCAGAGTGTTTTGTATGAACATTAACTCCGCGTCTAGGGTGTCTTCCGTACAGATTCGACGTGCTCTTGACGTAAGACAGTGGACCAAGTTGCGCTTGTATCTCATGGGAACGAAACTGTAAAAGTTCGTGCACTGACCTATCCACGTTGTTTTTCTGTAGACCTGACGCTGGATGGATCCGTCTGGTCTTCTAGTCAACAAGACATCGAGATATGGTAGCCGATTATCGCTTTCCTTCTCGTAAGTAAACTGCAACTGCTGCATGCACCCGGTTGAAGTGGTCACGAATTTCCTCCAGATTGTAATGGTCTGATGATGAATCATTGAAAGCAATTGCTCACCAGATGGCCTTTTGTTCTAGAGACTTAAATGGGAATTTTCAAGTTACTTAAATCATCCAAGCCCCCATTAGTGGTGAAGGAGCTCAATCAGTTCCTTAAGTTCTCCACTAAGCTTGCTGAAGCCAAATGCTGTGTTTCAGTTCTTCATTGATTGCGTAGAGCATAATGAATAGCCGACCAGAGTTTTGGAAACAGTTACGCCGTGATCGATCTATCCCAATAGCAAGTACCCTTAGGCGACATGCACTAAGGCCAACGTGATACCGTGCAGTCCAAGATTGCTGAATACGAAGACAAGTCTAGTACAACGCTACACAGCAACGATGAGTTAGCTGCTTGAAGAAAAAGACAATGTTATCTGGACTACTGTTCGGTCTAGCACTTGCAACCGTGTACAGCGGAGGCGTTCTTCTTTAGCAAAGTCGCTAAGCCAGCTTAAGCCGCAAGCCACGTTTCCAAACAGGTGATGTTTACCTATCAGCGATGCGTCGGTGCGCGGTGTGCCGGCGTACTGCTGCTGATGCCTTTTCGTTTGGGCAACGGCGTTAGGAATCTGCCTCATAAACTGCGGCAATGTCGGTATAATCGAGTTTGGCATATAGCACTGCTACTTCGTTGCCATGAGCTCATAACCTGCGAGCTATAACTTTGCTACTGGTAGTTATCAAGCGCAGAAAGTCCGTTATACATATCACTGCATTAAGCTACCATTCACAAACAGGTTTTCTGCAAATTGCCCACGCCACATGGTCATGAGCAGCTAACTACTGGGCAATGATAAAGCACTGTCAAGGACAACAACAGCTTCGTTTCGGCGCTCACCACCGTATGTCACAGGCCACACACATATACACACAGAGTTAACTCACGACACTACTCAGTCTAAACGAGCAATTCAACTGCACGTTGACAACCGGTACGCCAGCTTCGTTTGCGTGAACTCCTGTGGTAGTCAGTGTCTGGGTAGCTTTCGCCTACTTTACTCTGGAATCCGGGACAGCTCCACTACCCGCGTTTTCGTTCTTCCGGGGCCTCATGAGTGGTGTGAGGGTCAGTGTCAACTTCGACCGAAACACAAAGTCACGAGCACGATTGATTACAATCACATTAAGCTGAATGTAAACCGCACAACTAACGGTAATCAAATGTGGTTGAACTGCGTTTAAGTCGAAAACTCAACGGGTGGTACGGAACATTAGTTTTGTTGAATTGCCTCTAGAATGTGTCAAATCAATTAACCTCTCACTTCCCAAATAAACAACTGCTGTATTTGATTAGAACAATTTCAAACCAACGGTTGTTCCTTCCTAGCCAAATTTTCCAGGTCTGTCTATAGTCACACGGAGCGAACATTCACACTAGTTAGAGTAGTGCGTTCCAGTTCCACAAGTTAAAGCAACTTTTTTCTGACAGCTATCTGTTCACCTCCCTCGCAGTATTTATCATTCCAAAACGATAGTACAGAACAAAGCTCTTCTAAGTAACTACTCGGTATTCATGTGAGACGCCTAATTTTCGTGAATTAAAGACGCGAGCTACTCGAAACTGTTTTCGGCAACCAAATTTGGACACTGCACTCCGTTGAATAAAATATTTATCACTATGTTTACCTGGTGCGCATTCCATCTTTCTCGCAGGACACTTTCGAATACCACGTACTGCCGAGGATCAAGGGTTTGGTGTACAATTTATTCGACTACGAACACCCGTCGGTTCGAAGTGGCGCTGTTCAGCTGCTTCTTACATGCCTGAAACGTTGTCAGCGCACCGTAAGTTGTGATCCTCATGTCATCTTCATCTGATATACCGACCGTGGATTGGTACCACAATTGTTAATCACAACTCCATAAAATGGAGTCCCAAATTTTGCTCGATTAAAGATTTCTCCTTGTCCAGACTGTTAGGAGTAATTCGCGAATTCATCCAGCTGTGTAACACCTTTGAATTCACAGGTGCTTCCTGAGTATCACATTGTTTCTCTACTATCATCTGAACAATTTGAATCCCTTTCCAGCTCCGTTTTGTCATAATGTCACTGAAATTTTTCTCACTCTTCTAATCACTATTCATAAAGCGACTATCGACAACTGTAATGAGCTAAACGTGTAAATGTTGACTTCTAGCTCACCGGGTTAACCATTCGGGTCCCTAACTTAATGTGGCACTCTCAGAATCAGTTGCGAAAAGCCGAAATGCCATTGTTGTGTTTCGGTTGATGTTGGTGTTTGCCTGATGGAGTATCAGTTGTGATAAACCTAGTTAACAGGATTGTTTGCGTTCATTGGACCGCTGCTCTTCTTTATCTATGTAAATGACCTACCTGCGGAGTTTCTGGTACGATCAATGCTATTTGCTGATGACCTGAAGCTGTGAAACATTGTCGATGTTCTTGGAGGTCCCGAAGCTATTCAGCGAGTCTTGGATAAGCTTTGAGACCGGTCTGCCTTATGGTTACTGCCCATAAATCAGGCAAAGTGCTCCGTTCTTCGAATTGGAGGAGGTTGTCCTCCTGCGAAGTACTTGGTCGGTGGGGTCGAACTCCCCCGTGTATCTAGCCAGGTTGATCTAGACGTCGTACACTCTTCGGCTTTACACTCCGGCGACAACTGGAAGAAGGCCACAAGCGGAGGTTTCCGCATATTACGGTTAATACTACGTTCTTTCGGAATCTTGACAGGTGGCATGTTTACGAGACTATTATCAGCTTTCATTCGGCCTCATATGGAATACTGCGTCCAGACTTGTCCGCCCTGCCTTGTCCGGGACAAAATGGAGCTAGAGAGGGTTTTACGGGTGGGTACTAGGTTTGTTGAGGGATTACGGAGACGGACGTACCCCGAACGTCCACGTAGTTTGGGAATGCATTCAAATCACTACCGAAGGCTTAGAGGAGACATAATCCTAACCTAGCATATCTTAATTGGGACGGTTGATCCAGTTATCTTGGCTATTCAGTCCCGCTAGATTGTCTGTTCTACGCGGTCATTCGTTGAAGCTGGACAAACCGCGGTCCGATCGGATTAGGGCGGAAATCCGGCTGTCACGCCGAGTCATCGAGCGTTGTAACTTGCTTCCGGAAACTGTTATCTGGGAACCTAAGGTTAAGGGGTTTGAGCGGCAACTTGACGTTCTTGGCTGGCATGAGCAAACCTTTCCCTTTTCCTGACTAACTCTCATCATGCTTCAATTTTTTTTCTCTACTTTTCTTCATGTATTGGTATTATTTTCTTATTTCAAGTACACTTCCTGATTCTGTACCTTCCATTTCTCTTCCTATCCTTTGCTTACTTCACATGACTGCCACAGCAGGGATTGCTATGGCAGGAAACGTGGGCATTAACTAGTTGGCCAGGATGCGATACGGATGTTCCGTTTTAGATTCATCAATAACTCTGAACACTTCATCAATTCCTGGCTCAACGATCCACTCAAGATGGAACACTCACGGGATTCTCCTATCGTTCCAGTCCCAGCCGAACTTGAACTTCAACTGTGGCAGATATCTGTCGAGTGGCACTTCCGACAACTGTATCAAGCGTCAATGAACAGCTGGTTTCTCTTAGCACACCATTTCACACGAGTCGCTTAAGTCCGTAACACCAGTCCACTTACCCCCGTGTTGAATTGTGATGCGGCTAATAGCTCAAGGTTAATCCAGTTTAACTAACAAAACAATGGACGATTGGGTCTGGCAGGCAGTCACAATCAACTGGTCGTAAACATTTCTCTCTCACCTCTGCAATTTTTTCGTAATCGGGCCAAGACGAAGTTATCAAATAGGGGTTGCGTTTCTGGATTTTACTAATCTCAATCCACATTTACACAAGTTGGATAAAACGCGTGCCTTGTCTGTGGATATAGCCGGTTTTTGATCAAGAGCCACCTTCCATGCCTTACTTGATCAGACTAGAAGCTTCATGTGAAACACCGTGTTCCTAGATAGAAAGAAAGTCAACAGTACGCCGGCACACCACTTACCGATCCTTCGCTGCCAGGTAACTACAACCGGTCGCGCGTGGGCTGAGAATATCGCGAGGACGCCAGCCCCTACGCGGATCTAACCGCGTGATTGCAAGCCAGGCGTGCAATCCTTTCGGCCACCGGCCGACGTTCCTGGATAGTCGTGATAGCGATTTCATCCATTGCGTTCATCACTGTTGATACGAGCCGCAGTCACTTAGTTGTCTTGAAATATATCCACAGGAGGCAATTATTAGTGTCGATCGCCCCTCTGGTTCGACTCATCAGGTTGATATAGACTGCTTGGGCTAAAGTATTTGATAGCTTGACTGCCAGTGACCCCTGTGCTGGACTTCATTTGAAGCGTGGATACAGTGCGACAGACAATCTCTGGCGTACGGTCGGGACATTTTACTGTCTCTACACTTTCATCTACTGCGTCTGCAAATTTTCGCAGTTTTCCTCATTCGATCAGGTTCGACGGGCTTCTCCTAACGTTCATATATCTCGAAGCTATGCACTACGGATTACCTTCTCCCCTTCATTTTCAATTTTTGCGTTCTTTTCACCTAAAACGTGCACGTCCAATTCATTGGCCTTACTTCCTACATCACGAATTCCGGCCATTTCTGCGAATTCTCCTATTTGTTGCTGTATAGCGTAACTACAGACGATTACGTTCCATTTACGACCGCTGTCCTCTTCGGCCATGCACCGCTCACATAGGAAACCGTCTACTATACTTCGCCGAAACTACACCTGCGTGCGATCGATACCTCGCGGGCTTCTACCTACCTAGCACCCCGATCCGTGGTCCTAACGTCCGCGCACAGCGAAATGACGCAAGAATCTGATCTCAACGCTAACTCAGGATCGAGGTCCGACCGACGCAAAATATCCAGATATCCGCCTATCGCTCAAAAGAACGTGTGATTGTCGTCGGGATCAGCCAATCACCGCGCAGCAGCTTGTGTGACTTCGCAGCAGACCTTTCAGAAACCCAACCGCAGTATTTTGGAATAATTTATATCGACGTCGCCAGAAGGGAGGTACCAGTATACTACAAACAAATGAACGGTAGATTTGTCTAGAGTGCGTTTCCGTAGAGCTGGGGTCGCGTTTCTTCCCATTTTTCTACCATTCGTGTTCAGAGCTAAAAAGGCTCTTTCCAATGGTGTGATTGTTTTCTTACCACGGGCAGTGAGTACAAACTTATTACCATTTTCTTCGTATTTTTAGTGTTATTCCCATTATTTTGGCCGATAAGTCAGTGTCAATGTAGCCGACTAAACATTAACTGATATCAATTGGGGGAGTGGTTTAGAAGTGTTCATCGTATTTTTCTCATTCTTAGCTACTGTGCCCTGAACTCGGCACTTTTTTCGTGATGGTAGCTTAGCATCCTCCAGTTTGCCTGGTTAACTGATAGTTGTATCGTGTATTCTTAACTTATGTTTAGCGCCTCTGACAAATAGTTTTGCCCGTTTCTCTTTTCAAAAAGTTTTGTTTCTTTGTTTCACTACCATACTGTCATAATATTCTGACATGTAACTGCAGTATAACGGAGAAATCACTGACTTGCTGGTATCAACACCACGTGGGAACACCTTGTTTCCTACATGTATTCGTAGTAATTATCTGTTGTCGAGAGCGGTTTACTCTTTTTACACCTAGTGTGTTTGTTGAATTTATGGCTTCGATGCTCTTGCTTATTATTGGCTTTATTTTTCCTTCTTTATATTTATCTGCACACCACTGCCAATGTTATCTTGTATGTTGGCTAAACTCCATAATTTCTTAACACATTATGCGTTTTTAAACCAGGGAATGCTTATTTCTTCTTATATTTATTAGCACCGTTTTGTTTACACTTATCCGGCCCGAGTTCTATGGTCACTCGTATCTCTCCGTCAACGACATTTAACATGGATTTTGCACAGAACTTTCTCCACCCACTCACTTCTCCCGCTACCCCACTCCAACTACTACCACCACAACATCCACTTCGCACTCCTGTATACTCTGCCGTGCTTCCTATACATCCGCGGATGAATTGGCTAGCCACATGGGATATCACACAGGACTTCTCTCAGACCGCCGTCGTGTTGACGAGCCAACACCTAATGCTTGTCCTTTCTGCAACATATCTCTCACTTCAACGAGAGAGCGGACAATGCACTGCCGACGGACACACTCCGAAGGCTACCGCGCCCTCATGATGTCGAGCAGAGGCATTCACAGCGTCTTCTGGTCGAAGGAAGAAGACGCCGAGTTAATGCGGCTAGCAAACGAGCTGCATTCCGTGGAGAGAACTTAAAAGTCTGTTGCTTCGACTTCACCTGCGTTTTCCAACGGGCAAGCCAGCGACAATTAGAAGATTGCAGCATTTCAAGTGGACCAAACCACCACGGTCAAAGAACGTAGATGTCCAGAGGGTTTCATGCAGAAGAGCAACAACCTCATCATCAACGACGGAGACCTCTTCCGCATCGCGCACTTTTTGGGCATTCCACTCGCCGTACCGCAATTACACGCCTTGCACAACATCTTCCGACTTTCCTCTTTTTCGGAAACAAGTACCTTGCGAACAGAAACCCATCCAGTAGCCATCCCCTCCCAACCGTCACCCCAGCCGCGGACTGGGGCCTATGAACGGCCCGCGGCGCAGGCCTCGGCCTGCCTGCCTACACGTACTGTTCTGTATTGCCAGGACAGCAGGCCTCTTAGTTCTCAACAATCTCGAACAGCTCGCTCTCTGCCAGCCATCAGAATCGCTCGGCTACCACACCTCACACATCACTGCATTCATCTCATTATATATATATATATATATATATATATA